ATAAGCTAGATAACTGGGATCTTCTAAAAATTAAACACTTATGCTCATCAAAAGACTTCACCAAAAGAGTAAAAAGAGAACCTACAGACTGGGTTGGCTGTTACAAATCTGAGAAAGGTCTAATATCTAAAATCTACAGGAAAATCCAACATGTCTACTGCAAAAAGACGAATAATCCAGTTAAAAACTGGGCAAAGGAAATGAACAGGCACTTCACCAAAGAAGACATTCAAGCAGCTAATAGACACATGAGGAAATGCTTGCCATCACGAGCCATTAGAGAAATGCAAATCAAAAGCACAATGAGATACCATCTTACCCTGGCAATTACTAGCACAAATCAAAAAAACAGAAAATAACAAATGTTGGAGAGGCTGCAGGGAGATTGGAACTCTTATGCACTGCTGGTGGGAATGCAAAATGGTACACCCATTTTGGAAAACTATATGGCACGTCCTTAGAAAGCTAGAAATAGAAATACCGTATGATCCAGCAATCCCACTCCTCGGAATATGTCCTAGAGAAATAACAATCATCACAAGAATAGACATACACACACCCATGTTCATTGCAGCATTGTTCACAATAGCCAAAAGATGGAAAAAACCTATATTCCCATCAACAGATAAATGGATAAACAAACTATGATACATAGACACAATGGAGTACTATGCAATGATAAAGAACCATGATGAATCTGTGAAGCATCTCATAACATGGATGAATCTGGAGGGCATTATGCTGAGTGAAATAAGGCAATCACAAAAGGACAAATATTATATGAGACCACTACTATAAAAATTCATGAAAAGATTTACACACAAAAAGAAACAATATTTGATGGTTACCAAGGAAGGGAAGGGTGGGGATGGAAAAACATTAAATAGACAATAGATAAGTGGTAACTTTGTTGAAGGGTAAGACAGTACACAATACTGGGGAAGCCAGCACAACTTGTACAAGGCATTGTACATTCTACTTTGGTGAGTAGCATCTGGGGCCTTAAAAGCCTGTGAGCGGCCACCTAAGATACTCCACTGGTCTCACCCCTTCGGGAGCAAGGAGAAAGAAGAAAACTAAAGACACAAGGGACAGATTAGTCCAAAGAACTAATGGACCACAACTACCACAGCCTCCACCAGACTGAGTCCAATACAATTAGATGGTGCCTGGCTACCACCACTGACTGCTCTGACAGGGATCACAATAGAGGGTCCCGAACAGAGCTGGAGAAAAATGTAGAACAAAATTCTAACTCACAAAAGAAGACCCGACTTACTGGCCTGACAGAGACTGGAGAAATGTGGAGAGTATGGCCCCCGACACCCTTTGGTGATGCTACTCAGCGAAGTAGAATGTAGAACATTTTATGTTATGCCAGTTGAGCTAGATGTTCCCTGAGACCATGGTCCCTGCAGCCCTCAGCCCAGTAATTCAGTCCGTCAAGGAGTTTGGATGTGTCTATGGAGCTTCCATGACCTTGCCTTGTACAAGTTGTGCTGGCTTCCCCAGTATCATGTACTGTCGTACCCTTTTAGCTCAGTAATGAAGTCACTCCTGAGGTGCACCCTTCATCCAAAGATTAGACAGACCCATAAAACGAAACTAAAGGGGCACACCAGCCCCCTGGCAAGGACTAGAAAGCAGGAGGGGACAAGAAAGTGGGTAATAGGAAACCCGAGGTCAAGAAGGGAGACTGTTGACATGTTGTGGGGTAGTTAACCAATGTTATAAAATAATACGTGTACTAACTGTTTAATGAGAAGCTAGTTTGTTCTGTCAACCTTCATCTAAAGTACAGTAAAAAAGAGAGAGGGAAAAGAGTTTAAAAGCAAAGACGTCACTTAGAGGACTAAGGTGCACCTGACCCAAGCCATGTATTTTCAGTCGCCTCATATGCATGCGAAGGCTGGACAATGAACAAGGAAGACCGAAGAAGAATTGACACGTTTGAATTATGGTGTCGGTGAAGAGTATTGAATATACCATGGCCTACCAGAAGAATGAACAAATCTGTTTTGGAAGAAGTACAGCCAGAATGCTCGTTAGTAGCGAGGATGGTGAGACTCCGTCTCAGATTCTTTGAACATGGTATCAGGAGGGACCAGTCCCTGGAGAAGGACATCATGCTTAGTAGAGGGTCAGCGAAAAAGAGGAAGACCCTCAACAAGATGGATTGACACAGTGGCTGCAACAAGGAGCTCAAGCATAGCAACGATTGTGAGAATGGGGCAGGTCCAGGCAGTGTTTTGTTCTTTTGTACACAGGTTCGCTATGAGTCAGTACCAACTCCACAACACCTAACAACAACAAAGTGCTTAGACCCAGCTTTGGTGCATACAAGGTGATTAACAAAATGGTAGACATGGTTTAGTTGTAGATGATTAAACCATCTGAATGTAATTCATTCAACAAATATTTGTTGTTCTAGGCCCTGGGAGTACAACAAAGATAAGTCACAGGCTCTTCTCAAGGTGGAGCCAAGTCTTTAAATAGGAAATTCAAGACCAAGGACAGCCTGAGAGGTAGTTTAAGCTATTTGAGGAGCAACCAGAGATCATGAAATACCACTGAAGATTAAAAATATTATAGCTGAAATGAAATTTCAATAGAAAGGTCAGAAGGTAAAGTTGAAGATCTCTTCCTAAAACAGAACAAAACAAACCAAAACATCCGAAAACCAAGAGATGGAAGATAACAGAGAAAAGATAAGAAATGAAGGGTTAATCAGGAGGTCTAACATGTGACTAATAAAAATTCCAAAAGGAGAGAACAAAGGAAGTGAAAATGAGAGAAATATTAATGAGCTAATACTAGAAAAATTTTTACAACTATAGAACATGAATCTTTAGATTGAAAGGTCCTATTGAGTGTCCAGCATAATGCATGAATAAAGACCCCATATCAAAGCATTTCATTATGAAATACCAGAATATTAGGTAAAGGGAAGATCCTAAAAGTTTCTAGAATGAAAAAAATCATATCAGGAATTAGAATGACATTGGCTTTTTTAACAGCAACACTGGATGCTAGAAAACATGAATGATACCTTCAAAATGCTGAGGGAAAATAATTATCAAGTAGAATTCTCTACCCAAACTATCAATGAAGTGTGACAGTAGAAGAAAAGGAAAAAAAAAAGTTTGCCATCTTGAAAAATTGGAAGAGGATAATGGTGACGATTGAACAATATGGTAAACATAACTGATGTCACTGAATTGTACACATGAAGAATGTTGATGGGCAAGCGATTTGTTACATATATATTTACCACAGTGAAAAAAAAAATACCTAAAAATAAAAATGTTTACGAAAAAGGAAATGTTTAAGAAAAAAAATGTTTAAAACAAAATTTTGCCATTGTAACCATTTTTTAAGGGAACAATTCAGTGACATTAATTACATGCAACATGTTGTGCAACCATTACTATCGGTTTCCAAAAGTTTTTCATCACCCCAAACAGAAACTCAGTACCCATTAAGCGATGATTCCCTATTCTCCCTTCCTCAGCCCATGGTAACCACTGAGAAACTTTGGTCTCTGTCCATTTGCCTATTGTACATATTTCATGTAAATGGGATCATACAGTATTTATCCTGTCGTGTCTGACTAGTTCATTCAGCAGAATGTTTTCCAGGTTCATCCACGTTGTAGCATGTATCAGAACTTCATTCCTGTTTATGGCTGAATAATATTCCATTGTGTGTATATACATATATATATAATATACACCACATTTTTGTTGTGGTGAGTAAATATATATATATATATAAAAACATTTGCCGTTTCATCATTTTTTACACGTACAACTCAGTGACATTAATTACATTCATCATGTTGTACAACCATCACCACTGTCCATTTCCAAATTTTTCCATCACCCTTAACAGAAGCTCAGTGCCCCCGAAGCAGTGACTTCCTCTTTATACCACATTTGTTCATCCATTAATCTTTTGATGGACACTTGGGTCGTTTTGACGTTTTCCCTCTTGTGAATAATGCTGCAGTGAACATTGGTGTGTGCAGGTATCTGAGTCTACTTTCAAGCCTTTGGAGTATATATACACCATCTCGTTTCTTAAAGGAGCCCTGGTGGTGCAGTGGTTAAGTGCTCAACTGCTAACTGCAAGGTCGGCAGTTCGAACCCACCAACCACTCCAGAGGAGAAAGATGTGGCAGTCTGCTTCCATAAAGATTTACAGCCTTGGAAGCCCTATGGGGCAGTTCTCCTGTGTCTCGTAGGGTCACTATGAGTCGGAATCGACTCAGCGGGTTTGGTTTTTGTTTGTTTGTTTTCATTCCTTGAGCCCACGGTTTTGTGTAACATGAATATTCCCGTGTGCAACAAGGAATAATAGTGGAAGGCAGAAATAATAAAGCAAAAAGGGTCTTTTTAAAGTACGACTGTGGAAACCAGGGACTTCTTCCTCCCTGAGACCCTCATAGACAGTGGGTGTGGTACAGGAGAGCGAGGGTTGATGCCAGGTGACGGCTGTCATGGGCCACGGCGGCCATCAAGGAGGGAAGGGTCCGCTCCACCTGGGGAGCTGAGGGAAGGCTTTTGGAGGAGGGGGCTGTTAGCTGAGCCTTAGATGTTGTCGTTGTTGGGTGCCGTTGAGTTGACTGCGACTCATGGTGACCCCCATGTGACGGAGTAGAGCTTCCCTCTGGGGATTTCTAGGCTGTAATCTTTACAGAAGCAGATCACCAGGTCTTTCCCCCAAGGAACGGCTCGGGGGGTTGAACTGCCAACCTTTTGGTTAGCAGCCGAGCGCTTAACCATTGTGCCACCTCAGAGGAGGAGTAAGAAGTCAGCAGAAGAAGAAAGAAGCAAAGAGCCCTGGGGATCGCAGGAGTAGCACACACAGGGGTAGGCAGCGTCATGTAACTGCGTTCTGAGAGGTCTAAAATTCTAATTCATCTACTGGCTTTGCCGGCAACTTTGAAAAGATACTTCATTGGCTGAGCTCCTACATCCTTACATATGGAATGGGGGGCATAGATGCCTGCCCTGTTCCCCCTTGGGTCATGATGAAGGTTGAATGATAACCACGAATAAAAAAGCTATTTGGAAAAAGGATGGAGTGTGAGGAGGTGGCATTGGCTATGAGCTTGTCCTCTCTTGTCTGCAGGCTTGCGATCCACTCCATCATAATCCTCCCGCTGATATACTTCATAGTTGTACGAAAGAACCCGTTCCGATTTGCCATGGGAATGGCGCAGGCTCTCCTCACGGCTCTCATGATCTCTTCCAGGTAAGTGGGAGCGAGATTTCCAGAAGAAGCCTCTGGACCAAGCCTTATCAACTGTTACCTCACTTTATGAAGCACTGGCTCCAACCTGTGGTTCTAGTAGCTGCCTCTCATTTGAGCAATGACCTCCATATTCTCTACCCCTCCGTCCTTGAATATATTTCCTCGCCCTATTGAATATTTCCTGTCTTCTTGGCATGGCTTGCACCCCAAGAGCAGTTTGTGGCAGGCATGGTACCTTCTGGTTCCTGGAGCCATGTTCGGACAAAAGTGCCCAGCATGCTTTGGGCTCTGTGTTTAGTTTTTGGAAGGGGCGGTGTCTCCACAGTCAGGGGCTGAGAACCTGCAGTCCTACCCCAGAATTCCTTTCTCCTTTTGTCACACAGCTCAGCAACACTGCCTATCACCTTCCGCTGTGCTGAGGAAGAGAACAAGGTGGACAAGAGAATCACTAGATTCGTGCTACCTGTTGGGGCTACGATCAACATGGATGGGACCGCGCTCTACGAGGCAGTGGCCGCCGTGTTCATTGCACAGTTGAATAACTTAGACTTGAGCATTGGGCAGATCATCACTATCAGGTGGGGCATGGGTCACACTCATTGTCATCATTGTCACTGGGGTGGCCTCGAGTGAAAGTGCTCTGTGAAGGGACACACAGAATGGTCCAGTGGTGGGTTGTTTATCTTGGCCTGCTGAGTCCCTCCCCAAGATTAAATACAGGTAGGTTAGAAGTAGTGAAATTGTGGTACCCTAGATTTCTGCTTCAGGGTCTGGTCAACCAAAGGCATTGCTTTCTTCTCACTTCAGTGCACCCGCTAGACACAAAGTAGGATTGAATAAGGGGTAGTCCCTTTGTTCAAGGGTTCCCGGTAGCTGGAGGGTACAAAACCAAAAACCAAACCAGTTGCTGTTGAGTCAGTTCTGACTCATGGTGACCCTAGGTGTTGCAGAGTAGAACTGCACTTCTTAGGGTTTTCATGCTGTGACCAGGCCATAACCAGCAGACCGCCAGGCCTTTCTTCCAAGGTGTCTGTGGGTGGGTTTGAACCGCCAACCTTTCGGTTAGTAGCCAAGGGCTTAACCGTTTGCGCCACCTAGGGACCAAGGCAGGGCATATAGCTATCCAGATGAATTCTGAGTGTTATGATAAGGGCTGGAAAAGAGGTTTGTATGAAGACAACAGGGGGCACCAAGGAGGGAAGGGTCAGCTCTGCCGGGGAAGGTGGGGGAAGACCTCCCGGAGGAAGGGGATATATTTTGCATCTTAGAGGAGAAGTAAGAATTCAGCAGGAGAAGAAGGAAGTGAAGAGCATTTTGGATAGCAGGAGCAGCGCGTACTGGGCTTGGCAGTGTGATGTAACCACAGCTTGGTTACTGAGTGCAGGTTGGTTGGTATGGCTGGCATAAAGAGCCCGGTGTGGAGAACGTGAGGAATGAGAAATGCAGGGGTCACAGCATGAAAGGCTCTGCATGGGGAGCTCACAGAAGGGCCCTAGACAATGGTGTATGATGGGCAGATTTGCATTCTGGGAAGGAGACTGGCAATATGGTGGATGGGCACTGGGACCTCAAGCTGGAAAACCAGTTAGGGGACTCTTGCAATAGTCCAGGTAGCATATTAAAAGGCCTACATCAACAGACTGACAGTAGGGATGGGCGGAAAGGTAATCTGGGGACATCAATGGAATGCAGGATGGTGAGGGGCAGGGGAAGGCTAGGATGCCTCCCAGGTTTCTGGATAGGTGGATGGTGTTTACACCAGAACAGGGACTAGCATAAGAGAAGTAAGTTTAGCAAGGAAGATAAAGAATTCATACTTCTTGATGCGTAGAATTTGAAATGCCTGGAAGACATCCACGTGGACATACATAGCTGGCAATGAGAAATGTCGGTCTGGACTGGAAATACAGATGTGAGGGTCATCAGCTTAATGGTGGTTATTCAGCACATAGATCAGGAGTCAGTTGTCTATGTTTGAATCTCAGCTACATCACTTATTAGCTGCGTGACCTTGGCCAAATTACTTGAATTTCCAAAGTTTCTGTTTTCTCACCTGTAAAATGAGGATCATAGTAGTCATCCCCTTTCCCCCCAAAAAATACCCACCTATTCTAAGAGCTGTCTGGGAGCAGTGGCGGTTCGGTGTTAGAATTTTTGCCTTCCATGCAGGAGACCTGGGTTCAGTTCCCGGCCAGCGCACCTCATGTACAGCCACCACCCAACGGTCAGTGGAGACTTGTGTGTTGCTATGATGCTGAACAGGTTTCAGTGGAGCTTCCTGACTCAGATAGACTAGGAAGAAAAGCCTGGCGATCTACTTCCAAAAATCAGCCAATGAAAACACTATGGATCACAACAGTCTGACCTGCAACTGATCACTGGGATGGCTCAGGACCAGACAGCGTTTCGTTCTGTTGTGCGTGGGGTCACCATGAATGGGAGGCTGACTTGACAACAGTTAACAACAATATTATATACAAGTAGTGGGGTTTAAGTAATATGGAACAGTGAGCACTCACTAAACATTGGGAATAGATGGCATTACATAGGAGACCTTGTAGAAAAGAAAAGAGGACTAAGGCCTGAGTCCTGGAAAACCCTAATTATTAAAGCCAGAAAAAGGAGGAGGAGCCAAAGAAGGAAGGTGAGAAGAGCAGAGAGGTGGGAGGAGAGCCAAGAAAACATGGTGTCATGGAAACCAAGCGAAGAGAGATTTCCAAGGATGAAATGTCAGCTGAGTCAGTCACTGCAGAGAATTCTAGTAACATGAGGACTGAAAATTGTCTGCTCGAGTAGGTGGTGAAAATGTCATTAATGAATTTTGTTGGAGATGTTTCTCTAGTCCAGCACCATCCAATATGGCAGCCACTAGCCACTCATTTTAAATTAAAAATTCATTCCCACTGGACTGAGTCCAGCACAACTAGATGGTACCTGGCCACCACCACTGACTGCTCTGACAGGGATCGAAATAGAGGGTTCTGGACAGAGCTGGAGAAAAATGTAGAACAAAACCCAAGCTCACAGAAAAAGACCAGACTTACTGGTCTGACAGAGACCAGAGAAACCTGGAAAGTATGGCCCCCGGACTCCCTTTTAACTCAGTACTGAAGTCATTCCTGAGGTTCACCTTTCAGCCAAAGATTAGACAGGCCCATAAAACAAAATGAGACTAAATGGGCACACCAGCCCAGGGGCAAGGACAAGAAGGCAGGAGGGGACAGGAAGACTGGTAATGGGAAACCCAAGGTCAAGAAGGGGGACGTGTTGACACGTCACGGAATTGGCAACCAGTATCACAAAACAATATGTGTATTGTTTAATGAGAAACTAGTTTGCTCTGTAAACCTTCATCTAAACACAATTAAAAAAAAAAGAGAGAGAGAGAGAAGAGTGAGCATATTGTAATGAGAAGAAAAAAAATTCATTCCCTCAGCTGCCCTCAGAGCCGACTTCCTGGGCGTGAGACCTGGGCTGTTGCACAGGCCCCGACACTTACCCATGGCTTGGTTTAATGCCTTGCTATCCCTGTCTTGAAATTATTAATAACTTCTGAACAAGGACCCATAAATAACATAGCTGGTCCTGGTTGCACCAGCCGTATTTCAGGTGCTCAATAACCACAGTAGCTGGTGGTACTGAATCAGACAGTGCAGACATAGAACATTTCCATTGTTGCAGAAAGTTCTGTTGGACAGCATGGCTTTGCAGTGATAGGCTGGGATGAGAGGTAACCTGGAGACTTGTGTTCAGTTTAGAGTAGAAGTTGAAGACCCTAAGCCTACTCCATATTGAATCTGAACCATTTGGATGTAATTTACTCTGGTGTCCCCAGCATTTGACATAGGTATAAATTTTTGGTATAAAGAAGGTGTTGAGTTAATTAACACTGTTCTAATACAGTACTTTTTTAAATCCTCCCCACCCCTAAATTGTAAAATCTGTATTGCTATTTGCTTGAAATTGGCTGAAGACAGGTACAAAGTAGACCATTTGACACATCAGCTGGGGAACTATACTAGACTATACCAATCTATACTAAACTAACGTATACTATACCATAACCACACTACACCATACCAATCTATACTATCTTGATGCTGTGTAATCTGCAACACATGTCAGTGGCTAGAAAAGCCCATGCCAAGAGAGCTTGAGTCAAGTCCTATAGTTAGATCAGCAGGGAGTGTTTAAAATGGAAACCTTGAATTAGGCCTGAGAAAGTTTCGGTTCCAGCGTTGTTGTTTTTACACTTCCAAGTACGTTTTCTCACCCCTCACCCCTGGCCTGGCGATCCCAGTCCACACTGACCTGATTTCCAAGGAGCCGTTGTATGAGGTGCCAGTTCTTTGGGGTATTTGCCACCTTCTGATGAATTCCCTCCCTCTGCCTTAGTCAGGCGCCCTGGTGACACAGTGGTTAAAGGCTTGGCTGCTATCCAAAAGGTTAGCGATTTAAACCTATCAGCCGCACTATGGGAGAAAGATGTGGCAGTCTGCTTCCATAAAGATTATAGCCTTTGAAACCCTATGGGGCGTTCTACTGTGTCCTATAGGATCACTATGAGTTGGAATCGACTTGACAACACCCAACAACGTCAACAACTGACCCAGAGTCAGTAACAACACCTGTGAGGCCCAGAGTAATTATTGACTTAAAAAAAATCCTCTCTGGCTCTACCTTGGAGAGAATGAGTTCGTGAAAGTTATTTTTAACTTTATAGGTTACATTTACAGCTCATGTGGCTAATGGTTGAAGCGATTTTTAGACCCATGGTATAGCTCTTTCTGTGGTCTCTTTGGACTATTCATCAAACAAACAGAAGATCCGCCTAAAACATAACCCTTCTGTGGCTTTATATAATGCTCACTGTCTTAGTTATCTAGTGCTGCTATACCAGAAATACCACAAGTGGATGGCTTTAACAAACAGAGATTTATTCTCTCACAGTCTAGGAGGCCAGAAGTCCAAATTCAGGTTGCCAGCTCCAGGGGAAGGCTTTCTCTCTCTGTTGGTTCTGAGGGAATGTCCTTGTCATCCATCTTCCTCAGGTCTAGGAGCTTCTCAGCGCAGGAACTCCAGGTCCAAAGGACGCGCTCTGTTCCTGGTGCTGCTTTCTTGATAGTACGCCGTCCCCCTGTCTCTTTGCTCACTTCTCTCTTTTATTTCTCAAAAGAGATTGACTTAATGTACAGTCTAGTCTTGTAGATGGAGTCCTACCTCATTAACATAACTGCCTCTAATCCTGCCTCATTAACATCATAGAGGTAGGATTGACAACACCTAGGAAAATCACATCAGATGACAAAATGGTGGACAATCACACAGTACTGGGAATCATGGCCTAGACCAGGTGACACACATTTTTAGGGGACAGAATTCAATCCGTAACACTCACTTATCAAAGATTAAATGTGACTGAAACGGGGATAAATTTTTTTATAATGAAAGATAGTTACAGGATTTGGGGCCTAGAGAGAGCGTTGCGAAATAAAATAGCAGTAATAGTAGTCAGAGTATTAGCTGCTGTAGTTCCAGTAATAGTAGCGGTCGTAATTGTCGTAATCACAGCAGCAGCAATGGTGGTGGTAGTAGCTGTAGTAACAGTAACAGTAGTTAGAATTGTAGTAGTAATGAGGTAGAAGTAGTAGTTGTGGTTGTAGTAATGTAATAGTAGGAACAGCAGCACGTTGTAGTAATATAGCAGCGGTAGTTGTAGTGGGAGTAGGACCAGCTGCTGCGGTAGGAGTAGCAGCAGAGATGGCATCGATGTGTAAGCATCCACTATGTCCAGATGCTATCCAGCATGCCTTACACACATGGCCTCATTTAATCCTCACAACAGCCCCACAAAATATGTATTATCATCCCTATCTCACAGGTGAGGGATTGAGTCGCGGAGACATAACGTGACTAAGGAAAAGCTGTCAGTGAAACAGCGGAGCAGGATTATAACCTAGGTCTGAGTCTAAAACGAGCGCTCAGTCTAGTTCACAACCCGCCTCCGGCCTGCTTGGAGAGCTGAGTTAAACAGCCCGGGCGAAAACTAGGCCTCAGGGCTAGGAAAGAACCCTCCAACAGCGGTTAGCGTTTTTTTCTCCTGTAAAAGCCCTGGAAGTTAGCAGACGCTGGAACAGCAGGAGTAGGTTCTCATACGGTTTTGCCCCTCTGAAGATTTACAGGACAGTATATCATGTAGGCGACCCTGGGTGGTGCAAATAGTTAAGCGGTAGATAACTAGCTGAAAGGTTGATGGTTCAAACCCACCCAGAGGCGCTTCGAAGACGGGCCTGGAGATCTGCTTCCCAAAGGTCACGGCCTTGAAAACTCTATGGGGCAGTTCTACTCTGCACACATGGCGTCACCGTGAGTCGGAATCAACTTGGTGGCAGCTAACAACAACAACCAAACCAAACCCCTGTGGCCATCAAGTCAATTCCGACTTCTAGTGACCCTGCGGGACTGAGGAGGACTGCCCCAGACGGTTTCTGAGGCTGTCATCTTTATGGGAGCAGGCTGCACAGCTTTCTTCTCCAGAGCAGCTGGTGGGTTTGAACCGCCGAACTTCCAGTTAGCGGTCCAGTGCTTAACCACTGTGCCACCAGGGCTCCCAACAGCACCAACTGTACGTATATAGTACAGTGTGTATATGTGTGTGTGTATATATATATGTAGATATATGTGTATAAAAAAAAAAAAAACCAAACCCATTGCCGTCAAGTCGATTCCGACTCATAGCGACCCTATAGGACAGAGTAGAACTGCCCCATAGGGTTTCCAAGGAGCAGCTGGTGGATTCAAACTGCCAGCCTTTCGGTTGACAGCCGTAGCACGCCATATCTCTTAACTGCTGCACCACCAGGGCTCCATGTATGTGTATATAGGTACATATACATATATATACACGTGTATATATATGTATGTATACATATATGTATGTATACACATACATGTGTATACACACACAAAAAAAAACACATATACCTATTACAGTATAGTATAGTACTATAGATTTATAGTTTCAGACCAAAGCCAGGAAAATGACTGGGTTTAGCAGGCAAGGTCAAGGCCCGAAGGCAGAGTTTTCCTTGACTAAATGCATTTTGAGTTCCAAGCCTAGCCTCAGGCTATTAAAACAAAAAACAAAAAACCCATTGCCGTCAAGTCGATTCCGACTCAAAGCAACCCTAGAGGACAGAGTAGAACTGCCCCATAGCGTTTCCAAGGAGTGCCTGGCTGATCTGAACTGCTGACCTTTTGGTTAGCAGCGGTAGCTCTTAACCACTACGTCACCAGGGTCTCTGCCTCAGGTAATAGGGACTTGATTAACCAGGATTGTTCAGGCTTCCAAGAGGCATCGAAGGAGCATGAACATTCTGACAGACAAAACACACCGATGCTGTCAGTTTAAATTTTTCAACCGGCGTTGAAATAAACTTGAGTTTTCCAAAGAGTACTTAAGTCAGAACAGATCTAAAGGAGTATGCAGGCCCCCAGCTTTTAGAGGAACTGGTATGGCAGGAATTTCTAATTTATTGTAAATTAGTGCCAAGCCCCTAAAGGAAAACAGACTTGTCAAAGGACTCGGGCCTGTGTTTGTCCCCTCGGACGCCACCTGGGATACACCCCAGGCAGATGAGCAGGCAGCAGAACCAGCTGTAGGAATTCTGAGGCCTTTTGAACCCACAGAACATGGATTTTTGATAGAGATTCTTCTAGTTTAAACTGGCAACTTTTAGATCTTCACCTTTCAACCCAGTGGCATCCTGGCAGGAGTTCAGGCCTTGGCCCAAGGGTGGGGACATGTCTGCAGAAAGTGAGGTGAGTATTCTCCAAGCTGATGCAAGCCAGGGGGCTTTTCAGGAGATGGTGAGCCCTTGTTTTCTCCAGAATGACCCCACTTATATAAGGAATACGTTACTGATGAGAAACTGCATATTCCAAAGGAAAAAATCCGAAGTGCCGTCTCTTACCTGCCCAAAAGGGGTCTTTAAAATGCATTGTTGTTGTTGTTAACTCCCACTGAGTCGGCCCCCAACTCATGGCGACCCCATGCACAGCGAACAAAATGCTGCCTGATCTTGCACCATCCCCAGGATCAGCTGCAATAGGATCATTGTGCTCCACAGGATTTCCACTGGCTGATTTTCAGAAGTAGATTGCCAGGGCTTTCTTCCTAGTTCATCTTAGTCTGGAAGCTCCGCTGAAACCCATTCAGCATCATAGCAATCCACAAACCTCTACTGACAGACAGGTGGGGGCTGCACATGAGGTGCACTGGCTGGGAATCGAACCTGAGTTTCCTACATGGAAGGTAAGAATTCTACCACTGAACCACCAAGGTGCCGTAAACTCCCTTGTAATAAAGTTCACTTGGCTGCCTCTCCTGAATTCCAGCTCTCTTTTCCTTTTGCACAAAGTGTATCCACTGGCAAAAAGGCACAGTCAGGAGTAAACACTTGTACCTTGGACAGGAGGCAGAGCTATTTCTCAATTCACTGCCCTAAAGAGCAGCTCCCAGAAAGGTCAAGAGCCCAGTGATATCAAGAAAGTGCATAAAACTCATCCTTCACCCTCGCCTGAAACGCCCTTGCCTGTCATCCTAGGGGGAAAAAAAAACAGCTGCTATTGAGTTGACTTGAGCTCAGGATGACCCCATGTGTGTCAGAGTAGAACTATGCTCCATAGGATATTCAATGGCTGATTTTTTTGGAAGTAGATCATCAGGCCTTTCTTCCAAAATGCCTCTGAGTGGACATGAACCTCCAGCCTTTCAGTTAGCAGCCGAATGAGTTAGCCATTTGCACCACCCAGGGACTACTACCACTTTCCCTCTACCCAGTCTTAAATTCCTGGCATGTTTTAGGTACTCAGTAAATGACTAGGGGTGGGTGAGTAGATTGAAGAAGGGAGGAAGAAACCAAGTTGATAGGTACCTGGCACTTATTTTGGATGGATAGATGGATGGATGGATGGGTGGGTGGATGGATGGGTGGGCGGGTGGATGGATGGGTGGGTGGGTGGCTGGGCGAGTGTATGGATGGATGGGTGGGCAGGTGGATGGATGGATGGATAAAGCCTTCCATAAACACCCCAGTTGATAAACTCCTGTCTTCCTCCTGAATATGTCTTTGGCCCATTTTTTGTTGCCACTCATGCGGTTCTGCTCTGCCTCCTTGCTTTATGGTGATTTGCCATGTCTCCCCCTAGAAGGAGATGGCATCAGACTCCTCTCAGTCCCCACAGCTCTCGTCCTATAATGAGGCACAATGCATGCTCACAGATACCAGTTTTGAGTGGCCAGTGTGGGAGGACACAAGCAGTCACAGCTATGGAACTCCAGTTCCGCAAAGGGAGAAATCGGTGTCTAACTCCTTTCCTGCCATGTGTTTTGGCTCCAGTGTCACAGCCACAGCTGCCAGCATAGGAGCTGCTGGTGTGCCCCAGGCCGGTCTGGTGACCATGGTGATTGTGCTAGGTGCCGTGGGCCTGCCTGCCGAGGACGTCACCCTCATCATCGCTGTTGACTGGCTCCTGTAAGTTGGAAAAATGTGCTGCCTCGGTTGAACAGGAAGGCAGGCTTCCTAGCCATGCAGAATCCACAGTTACTCATCCCCTGCCCCAGATTGCCTAATGAGCCATCTGCTACTGCTTCCATTTCCCTCTGCCTAGGCCATCTGATAAAGTGCTTAAAAATTAACTCCCTGTGACTCTGAGCAGTGATTTTAAAAAGCCAGGGATCTCCTTTAGCTCATTATACCTGGTAGTGCTCAAGGTTGGAAGCTGGGTGTGGGATGAGATAAAAATGGAATCATAAGGTGAAGAAGCTGGGCAAGGCTCCAGGCATTCTGAACCCTGTAGGTCATGCTGGCCTGGCCCAGGCAAGTCCTGGTTCAGAACCACCTGGTTCAAAATCAGCCCATATTCCCAAGCATCTTCACAACCGTCAAGGGCAGTGGCATGAGCAAGGGTTTTGGGGTGAGACTAACGTGGGTTTGAGTTTCCATTCCTTGAGCAAGTTCCTTAACCTCACTGAGGCTCAGAAGCATTATCTGTGAAATGGGAACAGTTTTGTTGACCTCATTGGGGCTAGATGAGCTAATGTGAGGGGAGTGTCTAGAACAGTGACTGGCAGGCAGTATGTGCCCCATAAATGACAAGTTTGAGTGTTAAGGTTACGATGAGTTGGACCATTAGTCCCCCAGCCAATCGGTCTCTCACTCTATTTCTCTCCTCTCTCTCTGTCTCACTCTCCCTCTCCCTCCCTCACACACACACACACACACACACACACACACACACACACACACACACAGGCAGCTAAGGAACATGGTAGAACATCTGAGTGAGAGCATGCCTCTGTGACTCCCAAGGTTAAGGTTAGAACCAGCTGGTCCCAGCTTTACCCATGATGCCCACTTTGTGCGTTGGTCTCCAGCATCTAGGTCTGGCTCCATCCCCTGCTATCAGGGGTGAGTGTAGCTCCAGACTGAACCTTCCTTCAGAGCCAGCTCAGACTTACTGGGGCCACAGTGCTTCATGGTTCGCAAGGTGGCGGCTGAGGCGGAGAGGAGGGACACCGGAACATTCCACATGGGTTTGTTTGAAGATACAGAGCCACATCCAGAAAGCAGAAGTTCTTGCCCCTGGCTTGGAGGCTATGCCATGTGAGGGCCCTCATCAGCTTCCTGGGACTACAAGGCCCAACCGAGGGGGCCCCCTTCTTGCAAAGGTTGCTGTTCAGGCAAATGCTTTTGGATTTTTCTGCCTAGTGGTGATGGTGGATTTGTATTTATCTCCTTTCCCTGTTCTTCCTGGAACCAGTGACCTTCATTTCCAAGCTACCCAGGAGCCAAAGATCCAATCGGAGGTCCAGGGATAAAAGGCACCCATACCAGAGCCATACCAGGAGCCAGTCCAATCCCATGTCCTTGTTCTACATACCTGATGGGCATCCAGACTGGACATGTGTAAACACTGTTGGCCTTTCCTGGCCTGCAGGTATCATTTTCACAAGAATATTTGTGGCACACAGTTCCTACCGACAAATCTCCGAGTCAAAATGGCCTCCCTCCAAAGCATTCCTTCTCTGCACATCTTCCTGCCACCAGCCTCTTCTCCAAGCTGTCAGAGTGAAGACAAGTGCACCTCGAGGAGCAGTCCAGTCCTCCCTGGCCTGTGTCCTCTCGCCCATGCTCTGCCATGTCCCTGCTGGCTTGCGCATAGACAGAGTAGCCTGGTTGGTAGAGAAACGAGTCCCCAGGGATATGCACAAACACATGAGACACTCGGACACACATGCCCCCACTTGCACACATGCCATCGCACAAAACATCCAAGCTCTCTCGAAACAGAACCCACGGTGGCGTTCTCATTGATCTAGAAACCCACAAGACAGGTTAGGAGGAAAAGACGTACTGAATGTTAACCATGACTCAGATTCTAAAATATACCTGGGAAGACTCCATTCTCATTTCTTTGAGAGGAGATGTCTTAGTTACCTGGTACTGCTGTAACACAAATACCACAAGTGCTTTAAAGAACAGAAATTTATTTCCTCAGCATTCTGGAGGCTAAAAATCCAAATCAGAGTCTCAGCTGATTTCTTCCTTGTCAGTCAAAAAAAAAAAACAAAAACCCATTGCCATTGAGTAGATGCTGAACTTACAGTGACCCTAAAGGACAGGGTAGAACTGCCCCATAGGGTTTCCAAGGAGCAGTTGGTGGATTCAAACTGCCGACCTTTTGGTTAGCAGCCAAGCTCTTAACCACTGCGCCACCAGGGCTCCCAGTAGCCCCAGACATTCCTTGGTTCCTTGGTGTTCCTTAGCTTATAGACCATCCTCACATGGAGTCTGTCTTCCCTCATATGTGTCTCTGTGTTTATTCTCTTCTTTTTATAACTCAAAAGTGATTAGGTTTAGGACCCACCCACCACACTGGTATGGCCTCATTTGCATAACAAAGGAAAACCCTATTTCCAAACAGGGTCATATTTATAGGTACAAGGGTTTGATCTCAACATATATTTTGGGGACATAATTCAATCCATAACAGGAGAAGGGCAGTTAGGGAGACTAGCACTGGAATTAGGGAAGCCATTGTTATTTATTGGGCGCACAGACCCAGTGGAGCCAAGGGCACATAGACCTTATCTGCTCATTCCAACCCATCTTAATGACCTTCTGCCCCAGGCCTGAGGGGAGCCTCAGGTCAGTTGGTCAGTCAGTCATGAGGGCAGCACTTTCTGCATTAATTCTGAAGACTTCCAGTCCTTTCCTATATCCAATAGTGAAGGAACATGGAACCTAGGCCTCCTGTCTGACTCATGTTCTCTCCCCCAGGGACCGGTTCCGGACCGTGGTGAACGTGCTTGGAGATGCGTTTGGGACAGGCATCGTGGAGAAGCTCTCCAGGAAGGAGCTGGAGCAGATGGATGTTTCGTCTGAAGTCAACATCGTGAATCCCTTTGCCTTGGAATCCACCATACTTGATAATGAAAACTCAGAGACCAAGAAGTCCTATATCAACGGCGGCTTTGCTGTAGACAAGTCTGATACCATCTCATTCACCCAGACCTCACAGTTCTAGAACCCCTGGCTTCAGACGACTGGGAATGGAAAGGACATCTTCATCTCTTAGCAAATTAAGACATTAAGGGGGAGAAAAAAACGCCAATGTCCAATTGTACATTTGATATACAGACGTCCAGATTATTTTCTATATTTGGATTCACAGCTTTTGCTTTAATTCTGTAAGAGAGAGAGTTTGGAAGTATATAAAATAATAGCTGCTGGGAGTAGGTAATGAATGTGGAAGAGAAATTGCTTTCTCATGCACAGATCAGTGTTTTGGGGATTTAAAAAATATATATTCTGTCATTGGTTACAAATTTTTTCTATTGGCATGAATTTCCTTTGACCTCTCTCTCACATTTTTATAGATTATGATGCATCTAGACAACCCCCCAGCTAATGTGCCAAAATTGTCTACTTCGAATTCATCTCCAGCCAATTTCAAAGACACTGCTTTGAAAGAAAACAGACCAGCACAGTTCTGCAATAACAGTTTTAAGACGGGCATGGGGTTTTGGGGAAAGTGAGAAGGAATCTTTTCAACGTACTGTATTGGGAAGTGGGTAACTGTTAACCCAGTGTTCAGTATAAAACTAGATTGATCTACAAGCTGTCCCTGGGTTATGACGTCTGATTTATGTATAATCTGTAGTTGTGAACCAACCCCATAAAGTCAATTATATTAAAAATTCAAGGTACACACAATGGTTCATAATAACCAATGGGCGCTACTTTGCGACGCACATCGAAATATTATGTTAAAGATGTTTTAGTGTATCTGGAAGTGTTGCTTTAATTTTTCTTATGCATAGAAAGGTACGCTATGTACCAAGACAAACATTTGACTAACATTAGATATGAACTGTACCTAACTGTTCCGATTTACATACGAATTCAACTTAAAGACAGAGTTAGGAACGGAACTAGTTCGTAATCCGGGGACTGTGTGCGTGTGTGTGTGTGTGTGTGTGTGTGTGTGTGTGTTTTCATGTAATTTGCCAGACAGACATCAGAACTGAACTGTCAATGTGAAATCAAAAGCTTTCCTTGTACTTGAATAATAACTACAATTCCAACCCAGGCTGCTTTGGGGCTTATCAGAACTCCTCCCTCAGGAGCACTAGATGAGAAATCACATTGGTTCACTCGTTTCTCATCTGTGTGCCAGCCTCAAAGCAGAACTGTGTTCTGGCACAGCCATTCATTTACAACTTCCAGAGTCTCGCAGCCAGGAGGGAATCCATATCAGCTCTATTTAAGATTGTTTACAAAAGTGTCATTCACATAAGGCTTTTGGATGTGCTTTTACCCAACTGGAAGACTTCATTCTTCCCAGATCCATCATCTCCATTTAACAATGCCAGGACATCACTTTGTGCCCACCAAACAACAGTGGCAAGCTACCAGCTACCAAAAAAAAAAAAAAAAAAACCCAAGCCTGCTGCCCTCGAGTCGATTCCAACTCATAGAGACCCTACAGGACAGAGTAGAACTGCCCCGTAGTTTCCAAAGAGTGCCTGGTGGGTTCAAACTGCCAGTCTTTTGGTTAGCAGCTGTATAGCTCTTAACCACTACACCACTGGGGTTTCTGCTATCAACTAAGTGGTACTTTAATATAGATCCCTTGGGCTGAACAAGCCATACTGACCCGAGAAGAGCTGTTCCTCTCTTGGATTCTTACAGAGTAAATCTCATGACAGGAAACGGGTATCAGTGACTGGGGGAAATGCTTCCATTGTATAACACTTGTCCCCTCCTCCAGAGAGGACTGTCCTAGCTAGTAGTCTTGGCCCTGCTCTTAAAAATCCACTGCCTGTCATTCGCCTGCTGATTTTCTTCTTAAAGACTGTGTTTTGGCTCCATCTTGTAAATAATGCGTCACACACACTTCTACTTACCCTGAGGTCCAACATAGTTGTGTTCCTGCAGTGTTGAACCGCCCGTTTCAACCTGTGCTTTTATATGTAAGAAACCAGGAATTGTGCCAAAGACATCAGAAACGTACATAAATGCTCGGTCTTGACCACCGGCACCTTAAACCTACTGAGAATGACACTGAATTGTAATGTAGACATAATAAAGATCAATCAGTGATTCCATGTGAATTTTTAAATGCAAATATTAGAATCGTTTCTAGGAAATTAACTACAGATGAAGTTGCGTCAGTAAGTTTGTCCTGAGCTGAATGGTTCTACCCCTCTTAGCAGCGCGCTCAGATCCGTGGCCCTGCAGAGCTGTTCATGAACTGCGGGACATCTTTATTTTGGAATCAGTCTGTGACCATCCTCTTCACACACACTGTGCTTTTAACTCTTAAAAGAAGACAATGTTCCATGCCAGCCTCAATAAACATTTCCTCCATTCTTTCTCCCCCGCCTTTTTCTTCATCTTATCTGCTCTTTTATCTTACTTAGATAGGCGTAGGTGGAGACATGGTCTGTTGATACAGATTATACATAGATTACTGTTTTCAAAATGTTTATGCCCCAAGAATGAAAAAGCAGGGCTTGAGGAAAGGTAATCTGATTCTTCCTGTTAACCAGTGGAGATTAAGCAACCAAACAAAAACCCACTGCCATTGAGTCGTTTCCAACTCATAGTGACCCCACAGGACAGGGTAGAACTGCCCCACAGGGTTTCCAAGGCTGTAAATCTTTACGGAAGCAGACTGCCACATCTTTCTTCCTTGGAGCAGCTGATGGGTTCGAACTGCTGACCTTTTGGTTAGAAACCAAGCACTTTAACCACTCTGCCACCAGGGCCTTGAGAAAATGTGTTTGGCTTATAATCAGGCAGTGGGCCAGGAGCAGTATTGGCCTTTGCAGGTGTTTCGGATCTCCTAGAACAGGAAAGAGGAGATGATCAGGCAAAGCCTGGGCCACATGCTAGAAGATTTTATGGAACACGACTGATAAACTGTATATTCTCTAACTGCCCAGCAAGGGATCTTAGAGCTCAGTGGCTGGGCACACAGGTCTGATCTTTTAGGAGCCAATAATCTTGCCAGTAATCTAAGCCTTGGTTTCCTGTTCTGTGAAACGGAGACAGTAATTCTTGCCTCTCGGAACTGTCTTAAGTGTTAAATGAGAAAATGTATGTGATGCACTTGGCAGAGACTGTCACATAATGTTTAATGAATGCTAGTACCTCCTCCTCCACACCACCAAAAAACAAAAACACCCCCCCCCCCATTTACATGGGTAAGCCATAGACATGGAACTGCAATTGCTCCTCAAGTATTTTAGGACCCTGGTTACTGACGTGATTCAGGAATGTCCTCTCACCACCTGGTGCTCGCTGGGTTACCGGGATGGATTACCCAGTAAGCAAGGTAAGCATGTGCTTAGGGCATCAACAAAACAGGGACACCAGTTGTCCAAAGCAAAGACCCATAGACGCCAAACAGACAAGATGTAAGGAAAAGCGAGCCCGCAGTGGAAAGGAACTGGCAGGGCACTAACTGAAATTGATACCATTTTGTAAATGTTGGATGTGATAACGATTTTGTTTTCATTTTGGACCAATCGGGTAGAACCTCACATTCAGTTCTTTTTCATGGGCCACATAAGGACATGCCGGCAGCACTATAGTCACGTGACTTGTGACGTATCTGGTCCTATCCTTTGCAGAGCAAACCAGAACACGTCTTCAGATTGAGCGTACCCTTATCTTTGTATCATGCTCTTTGCAATCACTCTTGCCACCATCGGGTATCAGCAGTAGTCCAACAAATTGTAAAGATGCGGCATCAAAAGATGGAAAGTGAGTGTGCAAGATTTTAAGTATATTATTTCAAGACGAGAAACACTCTTGGAGATCTTCAAAGGGCCCACCAACAAACATCGTATGACAAAAGAATGAAGTTATTTCTGACAGCCTTGTAAGTACTATTTCTTTTGACTGTCTCAGACCTGAAGAACAAAATTACATGTTCCAAATCAATTTTTTTAACTTACTAATTTTCAAATATAAATTTTTGTGTTAATGTCCAAATTAAAATGTAAATTTTATTTTATAAATGTTACCAGTTTTATAAATGTTTTTTATTTTCAATTATTCAAATTTATTCACTACCGTAGAACCAAATTTAAAAAGAGACATAATTTTATATCTAGGTAGAATGAAACAGCAACAATTAAGTGGTGTACAAAAACAAAAACTCACAGAAGATAAAAAGAAAAGGATTTGTGAATCCCTAAAGACAATTCCAAAACTAACTTCCGTTTTAAAACGTAATGAATCAGAAGAGACTTCTTCTGTTGAATGCTCAGGTTTAATGGGTGCAAATCATTGTACTACTACCACTAGTGCTGAAATTACTAACAGCAATACAAATAGAACAGAATTTGTTCCAAATTCTGCATCCATTCCTTGCTGTAGTAAAAAAAAATTAATAATGGTGTAGAAAGTAAAACTATTTTGGAATCTGAAATTGTTGCATCTGCAGACGCCATGAATAACAGAAATGCAGATCCTGCTTTGGGGAATAATTTTTCTTTTAATGATGTAAATTATGGGATCAAAATAGGGTCAAGTGATTTTCAACATCACAGTGGATCAGTCGAAAATTTGAATGGTAAACAAACAAGGTTCTGTAGCCAGAGTATGTTTCTACGGTACAAAGCTAAAGTAAAAATTATAAGAGGGAGTGGCTACTGTATTCTCCATCAGTCAGCTCTGTATATTTTTTTGTTTGCAAACTATTCAGTACTAAATCATTTAATTCTCAATTTGCTACAGATGGATTTAATGATTGGTGCAACTCAAATACGATTGATAAACATGAAAACAGTTCAATTCACAGAGATTGTATGTTATCGCATATAAACTGAAGATATGGTTTTGGCTTAACTCATGAACTGAAAACACAAATTAATGAAAAACGTCAGTACTGGAAAGCTATTTTGTAACACACTGTTGCTGTCATAACAATCGCTGAACGTGGACTATCTTTTTGAGGAAGAAATGAAGTGTTTGGGTCCCCACAAAATGGAAATTTGGGGGGTTTACTTGAAC